GACCGCAGACGGAAAGTTTGATATTTTAACCATATCTACTTAAGAACGTTTTGCCATTTTGGCGTAATTTGTATGGATTGTTCACGGCAAATTGAAAAACTCATCTGGGGCAAAAAATCGAATTAAATCGTGAACATTTTCTTGCGACTATTCTTCATAACTTTCGACGTGGATTATCAAGACGAGCGCTTTAATGAACTTAATTCTTTATACAGCGATAAAGCACCAACCTACGGCTCTGTCAAAAGCTGGTACAGTACAGCTTTACTTATCCGAACTCCGACTATCCGAATCGCTCATTACCCGAATCACTTTCAGAATTTAAGAAAAAAAAATTAAGACTGAAAAATTTAAGAGTGTGGCCACATGCAACTTCTCATTGTCAAGCTGATTCGCAATTTGGTTACTCGAAAATGGTTGAAGACAGTCAACACATTTGACCAAGATGTTCAGCAAGCAATGACTTCAGCACTTGTAAGTACTCTACAGTATGCTATGTAACATGTACGTAAAAGTGTTGCATTTCCGTTTTAATTAATTTTCTTTAACTTTGTCTTTAAAAATAGTTTTTTCTCCCATCTTCAACATGCAGTACACACAGTAATTACCGTATTTGCCGGCGTGTAAGAAGTGCTGGCCTATAAGATGCCCCCTCTCTTTTTTTATACACATTTTTGAAGGATAAGACTGATCATTATAATGAGTTTACGGTATTTTAAATATGAGGTAATATAAATACAAAGTAATACTTTCTGCAAATACCCAATCTATCTGGAAACGAACACCTTTTAATCTTCTTCGTCAAAACCCAGACACTCATCTCCAGAGCTAAATGAAGAATCACTTGAAAAACCTCTTCTAAATTAGCATCTGAGTCCTCATACAACAAATTGTCTTCTGTACTCTGTTTCCATGTTGTTTAGCATACGCAATCACACGTAGCTTCTATGCTATGTTATAGCAACTTCGACGTTGTTTTTGAGCCATAACGTGACAACAAAACATAACGTGTAACAAATTTAAGAAACTTGAACAGGTACTGGTAGAAGCTGGACCAGCACCTCCGTAGTACCACAGGTAATTGAGCTATTGCTAAACCTAGCTAACTGTTAAACTTTCCACTCCAATTTTGAGGAAGAATACCCCGGGGGTGGTTCTAGGTTCTCCAGCCCCTCCTTTTTACCATCAACCCGTTGAGAGGACTTTCTGAGATAACTGACTTCTTGTATTAATAGTGTACACAAATTATATTGAGAAAAGACTGACCTTGAAAAGTTCAACTGATGCTTCCAAAAGTCTAAATGTATGAACAAATGTCCTTTCTAAGGCGGAAGGTGTAATAAACAAGTCTTTGGTGCTCCCGTCCATCAGCATTGCGTAGAAAAATGAAATTGTTGGAACATTTGTATTTTAGAAATATATGGAGATGAATAAGCGTTAGATATGACAAATATCCAGTCCGAGTCTTTGGATATGTATAAGAACGTCTCTGATTTTAGTCCTAAGGTGTCTGTTCTTTATTGCGTATTTCGTAAATGGTATTAGATTGTTGTAAGGCTTAATCAGATGCTTGCCGTCTGTTAGATTACAATCAAAAATTTAATGATCAGGGTCACCCCTTTCGCACATATGCAGAGATCTATGGGGCACGTGCCTCTGTTATGGAAGTAGGTGGGGAAAGGACCGTGCCCTATGACATACTGATTCAGAACATGGTCATAGTGTAGCACCTCTTTGCCAGTTCTTGGGAAAACATCGGGAACTCTTCTGCCTTGCAAAGCAGAATCCCATTCTTCTTGCCACTTTGAGTCGACAATTGCATTCAGTGTAAATTTTGTATAGGACTTTGGCCACTGGACAAAGGAACTTGAAGTCGTTCACAAAAACTGGAAAGTTTAACCTTTTGAAGACAGGATGGCCATTATAATGGTCATAGAGTCCCCTCTTTGAAAAGACGGGGTTGTCCACTTTAGTGGCCATGTCTTTTTCCCTCATTTTACAGGCTGAAAAAGCGGTGAAATGTCAAATTTGACGTCCCTAGGGTTTTAACAACTTATCTCTTTCAAAGGTCTTCCTTCTGCGACGTAGATACACCCCTCTGAGAATCCATTAAACTACACACAAGAATCTTTGTTGCAGATAGGAGGTGATTTCTTAAAGGAGGGAAAGCATTCGGTTCAAGATTCCCCATCCTTTGGTAGCTTTTACTTCTGCCAAAGCCTCGGCCTCAAAAGGTTAAACGAACCCAGCTGTGATCGTCGATGGCAACGCAGGCGCATTCACTGAACTCTACGTAACTGTAATATTCCAACAGTCTGCAAGGAAACATGAAAAAAATCGCATATAATCAAAAACTGAGTATTGACATATAAGACGCACTCCGTTTTCCAGACCTATTTTCAAAGGATAAAAGTGTGTCTTATACGCCGGCAAATGCGGTGATTAAAGGGTACGTAGACCCTTTCTTAGGAAATCATCCAGTTATCCGGATGGTGTTCGGTCTCAATGTATTCAGATAATTGGAGTTCTACTGTGTAACGAATTCAGTCGTGGTGGTCGACATTAGCTCCAGGACGAATTCCGGGAAGGTCGTCCAAAATCGGTTGTTGTGCCAGAAAATATCAATCCTGTGCGTGAACTGATAAAACAAGATTGTCATGTGTAACACCATGAGATTGAAGTATCTTTGGGCGTTAGAATGACAAGCATCAGTAAGGTATTGCATGAACATATTGGCTGTTAAAAAGGTTTGTTCGCGTTGGATAACGCATAACCTGGCAAACGCTCAAAAGATATCGATTGGTGCCAGGAAATGTTGGAAAAATATCTTCAAGGTACATCATAGGCTGAGTATAACACCTGCACAGGTGACGACACATGGATCTATGCATATGAGGCCGAAATAAAAGAGTGGTCGACTTATCAGGACTATTATTTCTTCTAATTGCTTTTGCAAACATACTGGAGTCCTGAGTAGAAAAGGGAGTTTACTAAAAACTATGTCCCTGCAAGTGTAGAAGATAGGACACGAATAGGATGGGTTTCATTACTCTTTATTCTTCACAATTTATAGCTGTTCCCGCACTTCGGGATACAGAGACCAGTACTTACGGTCTGAAACGAACAAAATAAGAACTACAAACTATAAATAATTAAATAAGAGCTAAACTCAAATCCTTTACAAAGACTAGTAATGCAATGATTGGCCTTTTAAACTTTACGGATGCAGTAAGCAGAATGCGGGAACTACAATACGGTTGAGTTTTTCTTTTCTGACACCAGTTGTTACGTTATTTTCTTCCTTCACGTTCGTACGGGGTTCGTGTGGATTTGGAGTGAATAACGACGACACTTGGTGAAGTATGGAAACACACTTTATTTACCAGTATTGTCAGAACAGCTCCAATAACATTTTTTACAGTCGTCGAAGATCTACTATAAACAGGCTGGAACAATCAGCGACACAGCCTTCAGGTTATCAGGCTATCACGGTGGAGACAGCTTCCTGCAAAGCACCCGACTCTGCTTTCCGGAGTACAGCTCCCGACTCTTCGGTTCAGTCGTTCCCGGAGCTCAACACGCTCTCTCGAAGATGCACTAACCGCGATACACTAACAGACTCCTTCAGTGCACTCGACGACCCACTCGGCACTCGCTACCCGGCTGTCAACTCGATCGACTCCGCAAGGGATTGACTCGCTAGACTAGACACACTCTCGACGAGGAACACACACACTAACTGACTGCTGACCAAGCAGGGTTTATATAGCTTTCGGCTTGTGTTCCGGACCATTCTGGGCTAAACCGGTAAGAATTCGTTCCAGAAGGTTCTCCAACCGTCCATGGTATATCGCCAATTTTGTCGCCAAATGGGCGATTTCTTGCCAAATATGGCAACCCTGCCTTCTCTTGCTATTTTATGGCAACCCTAAAACTGCTTTGCGGGGAAGCTATCTTACCTCCTCTGTACATTTCGTAACGATACGTTTTCAAGTATCAGAGGGAATTTTCTGGCCTTAAAGACAGACAGCAACTGACTGAGAAGTATAAAATATCGCGTGAGGTAAGGTAGCGAAAAGTCTTTCTTTTTAACTCCTTATTGGCTAACAGCCACAGCAGTTTGCAAGCTGAATTTGAATAACCAAATAAGCGCGTTCAATCTGGCCGGAAGTGGAAAATAAGAGAGACCAGTATAGTTTTAGAAATAAAATAAACGTTAAAATCCTTACAGACTATATGGGTCTTCCAAGATGAGCCTAATATAACAAAAGTTGTTCGCAGAAAAAGTAGTCGAAGCAAATGTTGCCTGTTTCTTTGGTACTACCTGTGACCTGGCAGCAGTGGCGTCAGAGCAATGCAGGATGATCAATTCCGAATAGTACACGACCATTTGTTTGCCAGAAGTCACCAGAAAAATTCGAAAAAAAGCAGAAGAAGAGGTGAATCCTTTTTCATCATGACAATGCGAGCTCTCACACATCGGCTCAAAGGAACTTTTGGCAGGCCAAAGCATCGAATCGATGAGTCATCCGGCTTACAACACTGATTTGGAACCCAATGACTTTTTTTCATTCCCGTACATCGAAAATAATTTACTTAGTTACCGATTTGCAACTCCCGAAGAAGTGGTTAATGCATTCAAAACGCATGTTTGAGAGTTACTTTAATCGGAGTGGAAAACGTGTTTAAAATTGGTTCAAAAGGATCTTCATGGGGAATATTTTCAATATATTATAATATTATTTTCAATATATTATATATTACAATATTATTATAATATTATTTTATTATTTTCAATATTTCAACAATAAAACCAATTCCGATCATAAATATTTGTTTTTCTTTATTACGCCAGAAATATAAATAGCAACTCTCGTATTAAAATGCAAAAGATCCCTTGTATGCGATCATTAAAATCTAAACCCTTTGAAATTTTTTTGAACACACAAGAAAATTTTCACTTTTTCAAGCAGTGTTTTAACTATATATTTGTGTTTTAGTTCCACATGCATGGGAACGATCTTGATGGACTTCACAAATATATTCCAACAGAAATGCTGCCAGAAGAGCTGGATGGAACGGCAGGACCCATGGATAATACTGAATATTACAAATACATTCTCAGCCACGAAGATCTTCTGAAAGAAATGAACAAATGTGGGTTTAAAAGTGAAAAATGAAGAATAGAGATTAAATGCAAATAAACGTAACTAGGCAAATGTATTCTTTTAGTATATTTTTTCGTATACTCACAATAACAAAATAAACAAGTCACAATAACTAAAGCTGAAGGATCCAAATGTGCCATAGGTACAACTTAACGAGGTGTCCAATTTCAGTTACCTTTAGTACCACAAAATGACATATTTTCATGCCTTCAAATAAAACTTTTTTTTATAATGTGTGTACTTTTTATAATGTGTGTATTCCTCTGAGAGGCACAGGTTTTTGGATTTGTCATGAAGATCTGTATTTATGCAGCATTTATCAACTAAATTTATGTAATTTCTTATTTTAGCCTCTATATTTATAAACTTACATTAATTAAGATTTCATTTACATTATTAGAGAAAGCAAGAAAGCAAAATATAGTAAGTTGTGACTTTATATGTATCAAGTGTCAAAGAATCTTATGACCGGATAAAGTCGGTCATGCCGCTTAGAGGGTTAATATTTTACAAATATTTTAGTTTGTATACAATGTTCTTTTAATAATTGCTTGTAAATTATGATAGATAACTGTTTACCTTTCCTAATAACATCGATGACTACTTAAGTTTTCTAAAAGTTTATGACTATTTAATTTATGTATAATTTTCTATTTAATCACGATTTATCACTTTTGATGATCGATGAGTACTTAAGTGTGCTATTTTCTAATCGATTTCTAACCGATCATACCGTGATTTCCTATTTGATTTATCATATTTATCCTATTTGATTTATCAATATTTTTTATCAGTTTTTCCTTAAAATTTACTTTGCCAAAAAGATTCTTTGTAATTTTTATTGTAATTTCCTTCTGATGTAATCATATTGTACTTATCATTACATTTGAGTAATGCATTTAGAAGTTGTGCTGTAAACACAGGCTCAGTGACTCCATATAATAGAGATAAAAATACATAGATTAAAAAATTGAAGGTCATCGAAAGAGATTTTGAATCACTAGATCGTGCTTCATTATAAACTAATCTTTACATCAAAATGATTAGAAAGCTTTGATAAGCACGGCCGCAGTAACCTTGGACATGCATAGAAATTTTGCTCATAAGTTTTCTAACCTTCAGCTTTCAATTTTTCTCAAAATATATATTGTATATATTGAGAAAAATGAACAATTGAGAAGATAATTTTCTATGATATTGCTATAATTTTTTTATTACAATTTTTGCATCTCAATTTATACGCATCTCCACTACTATTAGCTAGAGCTTGTACTACAGTGTTTTGCATTTGTCATTTTCCTTTTACAATATTCCAGTTCGTTTTAAATGAAACCGATTTTTTAAAAATTAAATGAATTTTGATTTTACCTTTGATTTTTCTTACTTCCTTTTTCAGTTATGACTTTGCTAATTGGAATTTATGTAGTCTTCAAATTGCAATTCTTACTTTTCTTTTTTGGTTTTCTCAATTTTTACTTTATTGTAATTTTATGGAATTAATTTGATTATGTTTAATTAAATCATTGCAGCTTAGGCGCAGGATACTTAATAGTCCTTCCTTATGTTTGTGTTATTATCCATATATATATATATATATATATATATATATTCTTCACAAGAATAAAGTAAAGTTAAATTTAATTTTAAATAATTCTCTTGCGCCATTGCTGCAAGGAATGGATTTAAAAGCATTTATAACAAATTTAAAGTTAAGTTGTTTGAATTTAACAAACATTATCTATTCGTAAAAAGCAAATTTAAAGTTAAATTTAAATGAAATTTAATGTAAACAAATAAATGATTAATTATTGCTGCGAACTAATCTACAATATCATTTAAATTCTAAGAACACCTGCAAATCAAGTGCAAGTATCAAAATCGATGAATAAATATTACATTCCAAAAATTATTTAACCCTAAAAAATTTATTTATAAAAGTGCATAAGTGAATGATTGTTGAGCAGGCAGGAGACCGACTTATCAAGGGGAAGTTGCCTCCAAATCTAACTCTTCAATCATTCAATTCACGGTTCGTCATCGATGTAGAAAGGGTAAAAGTCAAAACCAAAAGTAATACCAAATGTGGTGAATTACTAAAAAGAAATTTAAACAAGTGGAATTTTGAGAAATTAAAAGACTAGAATTAAAATTAAAAAATTAATAAATAAGAATTAGAAAACCAAAGTAATTTAGAAACTCCTGCCTACAGAAACTTCCCCTACACGAATTATGCATATAAATCAAAAAGAAACTAGACATTATCTATAAAATAATACATAAATTATACTTAAATAATACCAAAAAGGCAAGTAAATAGTAAATTTTAATTTAACTTACCAACTATATTTGTTTTTGGGGAATGGAGAAGCTTTGCCAAACTAAGTGATGTTAAATAGTGTGTTCTGAAAACTTTAAATAGAGGGCGCTGATGTAAGGTTAAGTTGAGTGTAAAGCTGCTATCTGTGATAAATTTAAAAAACCTATTCTGTAAACTTTTAAGTAATGTAAAATGTGTGTTCTGTTGTAAAAATGTGTAAAAAAAATGTGTCAAAAATGTAAAATGCAAACTGTAACGTTATGTGAAAAACTATTAAGGAATGTAAACTATCAAGGATGTAAAAATGGAAAGTATTTTTGAAAAATTTAGAAATAAAATTATTTTGAAGTAAAATTTAATTTCAATTTAAATTTTTGAAAATTTTTAAATTTAATATTTTAAAAAATAATTCATTTTTAATTCATTAATATTCATTTATTAATATTTTAATTAATATTCATTCATTTTAATTAATATTCTCATTAACATTTTTAATTAATTACATTACTCAATTAACATTTTCAATTAATACTCTCGTATATATATATATATATATATATATATGAGGTGTAAAAGCCATACTAAGTGTGTAGCTTGAAAACAGAGTGAAGTTTGCAAAACTGTTTTGGTGACGTCATGCCACACCTCCTCTATCCATGCGGCTAGTTTCGACGTAACCGACCACGCCAGTGGGGAGTACTGCGTCATTGAGTGAACACGTGCAACTGCATTCTGCCGGAAAAATGTCCGGCAACTGAGATAACAGTTATAATTTGCAAGTTATAATTTGTCTATCTGAGATAACAGTTATAATTTGCATGACAGTTGCTGGGGAAGTCTGGAACATACCTGGTATTTTGCAAAACATCAGATCTTCCTTGTGCCGGAGATGTAGGGCCTGCATCAGGGTTCAATCTCGTAATTTCCAATCCCTTCTTTGAACCCCCTGCTTCCTTTCGAAACCCTTCTTCCGTTAACTATTTTTGTTCTTATTTCTTGTATTCTGCTGTACTAAGCATGATAAGCATGTTTCGTCAACTTGCTCAGGTTTTTCCTTGTGTTCTGTATTGTCTGTACCGAGCCAGGAATGCCTTTTTGACCATGCATTCCTATGTTATTTTCTATCGTCTAGGTGCACTCTATCTCTCCTGCAAGTTTGTAAGAGAATTTTTGAAAACATCCTGTATACAGTAAGACCCCGCTTAACCTTTTGAAGACGGGATGGCCATTATAGTGGCCATAGAGTCCTCTCTTTGAAAAGACGGGGTTGTCCACTTTAGTAGCCATGTCTTTTTCCCCCATTTTGCAAGCTGAAAAAGTGGGGTGAAATGTCAAATTTGACGTCCCTGTGGTTTTAACCACTTATCTCTTTTAAAGGTCTTTTCTTTTGCGACATAGATGCACCCCTCTGAGAATCCATTAAACTACACACAAGAATCTTTGTTGCAAGTAGGAGGTGATTTCTTAAAGGGGGGAAAGCATCCGGTTCAAGATTTCCCGTCCTTTGATAGCTTTTGCTGCTAGAAAACCCCCGGCCTCAAAAGGTTAACGCTGTTTCGTTTAGCGCTGTTTCGGTTTAGCGCTCTTTTATTTCAACCCGGGGATTCCACGAAATCGCTCGCAGCATACGGGGATTCCCCGAAATATTATGCAGCGATAGGTTTCAAATACATATCCGAAAGAGTGTACTTGTATTTCTTGTTTGGTGCGGTATTGTACAGACATATTTTGAAGGGGTAAATGTGGAAGATGTCGAAGAAATAATTCAAGAAGCAGCGGCTAGTCTTTCTAATGATGAGCTCAAGGAATTAAACTGAACAAGAAGAAAACAAAAATGTTGACAGCAGTGATTCAGAAGAAGAGCAAAAAGAACTTTCGATGGCGTTTTGTAAAAAGGAGTTTGTCTACCATAACTGAAATAATGGATCAATTCATTGGAAATGATCCGAATTTTGACAGGAGCTCAAAAGTAAGGCGTGGTGTTAGAGATGCTCTATCCGTTTATGAAGAACTTTTAAGAGAACAACGCAAAGAAAAAAGGCAAACAACATTAGATGCTTTTGTCACAAAAGGCAGAACACTGAAAACGCGGAAGGCTAACTAAATATGACTGACTTGGAAATTTTATTTGTTTTTTTTTTAAGAATATTCGTTTTGTTATTTATATTTTGTTTTTATTTTTTGCAAGAAATAATAATAATGTGTATTAATTTGGGCTTTAAGAAATAAATGTTTGGTTTTATTTTTATTAAAAAAACATACTTTTTAAATTTAATACCTAACCAATTTCCTAGCCATCTTCCCCTAACCCCAATATATACATGTAAAGATAGCCTCGTTTAGCGCTGTTTCGCATTACGCTCTACTTTGATGGAACGTATCCCCCGCGTTAAGCGGGGTCTTACTGTATATAAATTTCATTTAAATTTAAATTTAATAATTTCTGTTACTGTATATCCATATATAGTACATACGGTAACAGAAATTTAAATGACTTCTTCCAGTAACAGAAATTTAAATGACGCAAGTATTCATGCTTTGGGAATGGCAAATTAAAACATCTGATGTGTACGCCACATAAGTTCCTTGTACGGAGTATTAAATAATATTAAATTGTACTAATTTTTTCTTGCATTTCATCTAAACTTATTAAATTGAATTAAATCTACTTCGTCGATTGCGTATAAGCCACAATAGAATAAATGCACTCTTTAAAATTCACTATGTTTATTTACCACAGCGACACTCTGACTCTAAGTTCGCTTAACAGCGTTATATCTCATTCATTTCATAACGCACAATGCACAAAAATTATATCATCTGAATAATTATCTAATCGTTGCCACATTTTCTATTTAGTTACTATAACAAATCTAAAATGATGTGTACAAGATGTCTTTATTCTGCCGTTATGT